ACAAAATCAATCATTTTACATTTCATTAATAACAAACAAATATTTCTTGTTAATACTTTTATTATTTCTAATTGCATTTGGAATATTGATAACTCTTTTTTTCATCAAAATTAAAGAAATCAATCAATTGAAAAATACTGGGAAAGTAAAAGATGATTTATTTGGGGAACAACAACGAAAAAATAATCAAACTGTTGAAAAATTGAACAACCGAATAAATGAAATCGAGAATAAGAAAAGTAAGATAAATACACTAGGTCTTTTTTTCTAAAGATATCAATAACAAATAACTGTTCAATTCTATCAGGTATTATTATCATCAAACCCGGTCAAAAATTTGGTGGTACAAGTGGTGACGACTTCAATGATTCATTATTGCCAGATTTCACTTGTCATCATTTAAGTGCAATCGGTGTTTATGCTCATGATGATAATATCGAATCATATCAATTTTTCTATTCTTTAGATAATGATAATCAACTCACAATAGAATCACAAATTCATGGCAATCAAGATTCTAAAATGATAACAATGTTTGAATTTGATAAAGATGAAAAGATTGATTCAGTAGAAGGACAGATTATTAATGAAAACATTGTCTCTCCTAACGGCACAAATCTAACAATATCACGAATTACAGGACTTCAATTCTTTTCAACAAAAGGTCGAGCGAGTCTATCATATAATGGACAATTGGGACAAACATTTACCGAAAACTTTGATCAATACACTTTAGGCTATGTTACTGGTAAAGCAACTCATTATATTAATCAATTACAGTTCTTTTGGTATCCAACAGATTATAAATGTTAATCATTAACAGTGAATATAGCCATTTTCATCATTTTTCTATTTTACAAGTTGATGAACAATTTTCTAGATTTTAACATATTTTTTTATATTGAGTTTTTATTAAGGCTATTCATTCATTGCAAGATAAATCGTCACTAACCTTTTTATTCAATTGTTATTGGAAATGAACTGATATTGTATCACAGATGTTCTCTAAAACTTCTCAAATCAATTCGATTAGGAAATACTTAGAAATCTATAAATTCGTTCAAATCAGTTCATTATCAAACAAACAATAATTATCAATAAGATTTTTTCTTTGATATTTTTCTTTGTTAAAATAATTATATTGAAATTTTGTTTGTGCAGATAATCTTCAGATTACAATAATAGTTATTCATGAAGAAGAGCAAAACTATGATATAAAGTCAATCACAAAAGTTTAAGACACCTTTATTTTTGAAATTTTTCATCGAAGATGAGTAGCTAGGTCAAATCCAAATAGTGATTTGGATAGCTCTTTAAATTCTCTATCGAATAGAATATATATCAAATTTTCTAAAGAGAGTTTTACAGAAAATCGTGACAGGAGGATTTCAACTTCTAGAGGATTTTCACAGAAAAATCTTTCAATATAACCATCTCAAAGAGTAAAAAATTCTCAACAAAATCAAGGATCAACCAGCTCCCAATGATATTCCCTTACAAAGTTATAAACATTAGAAAAACGAACAAAAAACGCGTTTTTCATCGATTTTTATCAAAAAAACCCTCAAATTCGATTAAAACTGCACTTTTTCGTTTTTTCTAATGCTTAGAACTTTGTAAGGGAATATCGTAGAGGGCTGGACGACCCTCGATTTTGTTGAGAATTTTCTTCTCTTTGAGATACTTATATTGAAAAATCTTTTTGTCAAAATCGTCTAGGAGTTGAAATCTTTCTGGCACGATTTTTTGGAAAACTCTCTTGACAAAATTTCTTTTGAAAATTTGACAGATATTCTATTCGATAGGGAATTTCAAGAGCTATCCACTAAATCACTATTTGGATTTGACTTAGCTACTCATCTTCGATGAAAAACTTCGAAAATAAAGGTGTCTTAAACTTTTGCGGTCCACTTTGTATAACTCAACACCCATTTTTTAAAGAGTTTTTTGAGTCATTGAACTTTCGATCCATTTTTTTCCTTAAAAAGTGGTATTTAAAAAAAAAGGTCTCTGTACTGTACTACATCCTGGCATGTTCTTTCAAACAAAAAAAAATTAAATCTCTGTAATGAACCTGAAGAAAGAAATTTGGTTTGACAAATTCGGTATTGTTGACCCCTGTTTGTTGAATATCTCCCTCAAACATCATGATGTCGGGCTGAAAATTTTACTATAGTCTCACCACACCAGCCCCAACATATCCTGAAAATTTCATGCCATTTGAACGTTCCTAGACTGAGATCGATTTTTAAGGAGAGGCCTTAATATGTTGACAAAAATATTTGTCGACGTTACTTCAATTCAACTAAATATCGAATAAATATTAATTAATTGATAATATTAAAAACAATTTAGATACTTATAGTTAATTTTTCATTTTAATAACATTTATAGAATTTTTAACGAAAAAAACATAGAAAAAATGATTGAGAAAAATGAAATATTACTTTTTGTTAATAGTTTATATAATTATAGATCTATTCTAACGACACTAAGATTTGTAACGAATGAAAGAGATTTCTAGAATACTATGCTCTAATTTAAACATCATGTAGCCATATAATTAGAACAGTTCTCTCATAATATTTTTTATTCCGTGATGTTTTCCTTTTTTTTTTGCTGTGAATCTCGATTTTCATTTTGGCATAAAATGCAAAACTATAAATTAAGATAAATAAAGCATCTGGCTGCAAGAAAAACCGAAGATAAGATAATGAGGAAAAAATTATCTCAGGATACAGAATACTTCCTCTACACTCTGATTTTCTTCTAGTGCAGTCAAAATATATTACGTATTGTGAAAATTGGACCCAAAGGTTTGAACATCAACAATAAACCTAAAAAATAGGGTTTTGATGGGTATAGATGCGAGTGTAGGTCTGGGTGTTAGCTGCAGCTATGGATGATGACGTAGCGTTTCCTCACAATGCACCCGCACACAGTGGATAGAAAAAGAGAGGCCAGGAGAAATCCTTACAATTAACAAAGCTAATAACTTGATATTTTGTATAATTATGCTTCTTACTTGATGGTGATTATCGGTGCTTATTTAGCCTCTTCTACTCGTAAAATTCTTGCAAAATAGGTTTTTTTGCCGAATTTTTTTGAACAAAATCCCGTACTTCTCCTCAGATTACGTTGAACGTTGAGTTGTTAGTTTAGGCTTGAAACTTTGCACAAATAATGCTTTCAATGGAACTATTGCCCATTTCAAAAACAAGGCGAGTGGGTATTTTTTGAATAACTTTTGGCAGAATCCTTATTGAGAGCTGTGATTTTCACCGTTGGAAAAAGGAAATGGAAACGCATCGAACTGTATATTACGGAATAATTTGATCTAGTTTTTTTAAGGATTTGAATCGATGTTTTTGAAAACCAACATATTTCATAAGATGACTAAGGCCAATTTTCAATAATCCGGTGCACATTCAAACTGCTAAATGAAGATCTACAAAACTACGCAACGCCTAAACTTTTAGATTTACTCGTTCAGAAGTTATAGGCATTTTATTCGAAACTCTTAATCGATTTTTCTATTAATTTCTGTGAAAAAAATCACTGTTCTTTTTTGTGTTTTTCGTATTTTATGTGTAGCAGCTGATGCAACTGTTTAAATTCTACATAATACAGCACAATCAGTCCGAAATATTATTTCTAAACTATTTCATGTATAAATAATATGTGCATCATCCTGTAGAGAGAAATATTTCGAAGAAGTTAATATTATTAATGACAATCCACCAATTAATCTCACACAAATAAATTAACTTGTTTTTCTACATAGACAAGTTAATTTAGATGAAGTATCAAAATGAGAAGATCGCAATTATGTATCTGCTGCTATTACTCTCTTTAAATTATCTTTTTATTTGATGTTTTCAATGCTTCACAGTTTTGCTTTTAATATTTTTTTGTTGTAGAAAATCAATTTGAAAACAAAAATTCTAATTAAGACTATCAATCGATTTCAATCATTCAGAAGATCAGAGTAACGAAAAATTAGAATAAAAATATAATAGCATCTCTTATAGAGATTTTTCTATGCTAAGAAAAATATGTAAATGATTCTCTTTATATGACAATATTCTTTAATACTAACAACAGTAAATGAACA